AGAGGTGTTAAAATATTGAATCGAGATACATATATATTCTTATATTTTTTTCTTGATGTATTGGTTATTGATTATTATTCTTAATTTATTATTATTAATTTTTATTCCGTTATTTGATAATTTTAATTGATATATTTTGATTATTTTTTGCTTTATAGGAATTGCTGCCGAGCTGGTCGGTGCAGGTTTAGTCGATGGCAAAGATATCGTAGTAATGGCTGCAAATTTGCAGAAATTAATCGAACAAAGGGATAAAATGAAGACAGTCACCTTCCAATTGGTAATTAAAAAAAATACTATATACTTTTGAATAAAAACCATTTGAACCGATCGTCAGCGAAATTCGTTAGCAAAAATCGTGTCGTTTTTTAGGTTTTTATATTATTATTCAAAATTTTTATTAACAAACTATCAAGTGTTTTACCATTTTACAATCCTGACTAAATGCGCCAAATTTTAATAAAACTTGCCAAGATGCTTTACTACATTTTTTTTAAATGAGAGCCACTCAAAGTTCAACAGTATAGTACAACAAAAAGTCTTTATTTTTGAAAACTTGAGGCAATTGTCATAGAAACGTTATTCACGTTTACGGTTATGGTTTCTAAGATTAAATAAATAAAATTATTAAAAAATAACCACAATCACTTAAAAATGTTCATAATTTCACCAAAGGTCTAGGTTGCGTTTAAAAGCTCATAAAATTTACAAACTGCACGGGATGTATATTTTTTCTAATATTTTTTATAATAGTTAGTCAATACCTATCGCCCTGTTTTGGCTTGACGTTGAGTTCTGGGGATACCCTAAATATTATATTTATATTTTCAACTTTCCAAAAGAGAAATTTTATTTCGCTGGTAAATCCGATTTGTTAATTTCATATTTCAAGACATTCTGAATCGCTTGACACCCAAATTAGACTACATTATATTAACTCTTTTCTTTATATAAATTTTTACTACTTTTTTTCTAAATTTGCTGGTCAGTAGAGTTCCTTTTCTCTAACATGAGGATTAACTTTTTTTTAAATTTTGCCGATTTCTATAGTTATTTTTCTCTCTAATCTAGTCATTAGAGTTTTTTTTAATATAAAATGATTTTTGTAATTAATTTGTTAATTTGCTCTTTTTATCTAAAATGATCTTTGTTCGTCAGTAGAGTTCTTCCTAATTATAAATGATTTTTGTAAATAATTTGTGAATTTTCTCTTTTTTTATCAAAAAATATATTGGCTCGTCAGTAGAGTTCTTTTTAATTTTAAATGATTATTTTGTAAATAATTTGAACATTTGCACTTTATTTACCTAAAATGATATTTGCTCGTCAGTAGAGTTTTTTTTAATTTTAAATGCTTTTTGTAAATAATTCGTGAATTGGCTTTTTTTTTAACTAAAATGATATTTGCTCGTCAGCAGAGTTCTTTTTTTAATCTAAAATGACATTTGCAAATAACTCGTGAATTTGCTCGTCAGTATAGTTCTTTCTAATTTCAAATGATTATTTTGTAAATAATTCGAAAATTTTCTCTCATGTTTATCTAAAATGATATTTGCTCGTCAGTAGAGTCCTTTTTATTTAAAACGACATACGCAAATATTTTCAGAATTTGCTCGTCAGTAGAGTTCATTTCTAATTTTAAATGATTTTTGTAAATAATTTGTGACTTTGCTATTTTTTTATCTAAAATGATATTTGCTCGTCAGTATAGTTCTTTTTAATTTTAAATGATTTTTGTAAATAACTTGTGAATTTGCTCGTCAGTAGAGTTCTTTTTTAATTTTTAATGATTTCTGTAAATAATTCGGAAATTTACTCTTTTAATCTGAAATGATATTCGCTCGTCAGTAGAGCCCTTTTTATCTAAAATAACATTTGCAAATAACTTGTGAATTTGCTCGTCAGTAGAGTCCTTTTTAATTTTAAATGATTTTTGTAAATAATTTGTGACTTTGCTCTTTTTTTATCTAAAATGGTACTTGGTCGTCAGTAGAGTCCTTTTTAATTTTAAATGATTTTTGTAAATAATTTGTGGATTTGCTAATTTTTTTATCTAAAATGATATTTGCTCGTCAGTAGAGTTCTTTTCACCTTAAAAGACATTTGCAAATATTTCCAGAATTTGCTCGTCAGTAGAGTTTATTTTTAATTTTAAATGATTTTTGTAAATAATTTGTGAAATTGCTAATTTTTTATCTGAAACGATCTTTGCTTGTCAGTAGAGTTCTTTTAAATTTTAAATGATCTTTGTAAATAATTTGTGGATTTTCTCTCTTTTTTTATCTAAAATGATATTTGCTCATCAGTAGAGTTCTTTTTTTAATCTAAAATAACATTTGCAAATAACTTGTGAAATTGCTCATCAGTAAGGTTTTTACTAATTTCAAATATTTTTGTAAATAATTTGCGAATTTGCTCATCAGTAGAGTTCTTTTTTTAATTTAAAATTACATTTGCTCGTCAGTAGAGTTCTTTTGTTTAAACAAAAAATAATATTGCTATACTAATTTACAAACAAAGATTTCCACACCGACAATATGCAGAATGTCTGTGAAAACTTCAATTTTATATCGAAAACAGTATACTAGTATACCAATTTCCATAACGAGATTTCATCACACGTACCATGTAAAATGTCTTAAGAAATTACATATTTGTATGGAATTTAGTATGGCTCACACTTTTTAGAGTCAAGTGGAAAAAAGATAAATATAAATAGATCGCAATTTTTATTAACTTGATTTTGTATACGTATAGGGGTGAGTTAATGCAACTTGCCTTAAGGCAAAATGCCACTTACAACTAGCATATTGATTTTTTAAATTTTTTAAACAAAAAATAATAATGCTGTACTAGTTTCCAAACAAAGATTTCCACACCAACACTATGCAGAACGTCTGTGAAAACTTTTGTTTTTGTATCGAAACCAGTACAGTATACTAATTTCCATAACGAGATTTCATCACACGTACCATGTAAAATGTCTGAAGAAATTACGTATTTGTATGGAATTCAGTATAATTCACACTTTTTAGAGCCAAGTGGAAAAAAAATAAATATAAATAGATCGCAATTCTTATTGTTTAAGTTGATTATGTATTAACTTGCCTTAAGGCAAAATGCCACTCACAACTAGTATATTGAATTTTTTTTATTTTTTTGAATTTTTTTTTTCAGAATTCAGAACTTAGCAGCGGTGAAGTGGCAGACGACAAGGCACTAATCGGCTTCGCCCAAATTTCCATTACGGACTGAATTAGTTTACATTGTTAAATAAAATAAATAATAATAATAATCGCTCTAGCATATAGAAATCATCATCCCCTTAAAACCTAATTGAATTAGGCCAATTATTACATAATAATAATTATAATTATAATCGACGTTCCAGAAGCAGTCAAGTCACACACACACATTTTTAATTAAACCATTTTATATAATAATTATTATTAGAAGTTAAATACACGTTTTTAACCATGAAGAAGTTATGTTTGGTAAGTTGTTTTTGTTTTTTTTGACTAATTTTTTTTTGGTTAGTAAAATTGTGCATTTTTTTATTTAAATGAAGATAAATCGAGTTGAATTTAGGATTGTCAAAGGTACTAGGTAAGATTGTTTTCGAAATATCGAAGGTCATCAAAGAGAATATATATTTAAGGGTGGTTTTTAATATGGACACATTCGAATTTCTTTGCTCCCAAGGTCTCAAATGCTTCCAAAGTAATAAAAGAAAATTCTGTAAAAGTTTTAGCTCTTAATATTAAAATTTTAGCTAAAACTTTCAGAGGTTTTTTCTATTTTTTTCAAGTATTTGAGCCCCTGGGAGCAAATAAATTCCATAATATCCATATTAAGGACCACCCTTAAATATATATGTCTATTATCTATGTATATAAATATGTTTAAATTTTAAAATTAATCATAAATCAGTCCGGAACTGTTTAAAAAGTCTTCGATTTCATATTTATTATATATATTTATAGGCAAAAATTTACATTTTAATTATAAGAGTCTTCTAATTTTTTTGTTCCATTAACTTCAGCGAACTTAATTTTATTTTATTTTAACTGTTTACATTTTTTTTTAGTAGTTTCATCATTCATCTTGTATTATGTGTAAATTATTGTTGCAAAAATATAAATTTGTTTTAATTTAATTTGTGTTATATTCTTTTTTTTTTGAAACAGGCTAAAAAGTTAAGGGTAAATTCCTTTAAGAAAAATGAGAAGAGTTAGGAAACTTATTTAGTAAAAATTGGTGCTTTAATCTAGTTGTTACAGGTTGGTGTGTATTTATTAAATTTATTTGTAATATATATATATATATATATATATATATATATATATAAATAAAAATATAATCAAGTGTTTGTAGAAATAAAATCCAATTTAAGTCCATTTTGTAATACATGCAATAGAAGATTAAAAATTTGGGTTTTATTTCTTGTATGATTTTATTATTTTACAGCCAACTAGTAGTTCTAGTAATGTTAAAGTTATAGTAAAATGAAAATGTTTGCATTTCTAGACGTTTTGAAGGTTTCTCCAACATTTTTAAGAGGCATACCTCAGAAAAAATGGATGTGTGTGTGTGTTTTGCATGTTCGCATTTTTTCGTCCACGTTTTCATGCGCACGGATCAACCGATTTGAATGGTTCAAAAAACATTCGATCCCTATTGATAGGGAAATGTGCTGATTAGTTTTTGGCAAAGGCAAGTCCAGCCGTTACGGAGATACGGAGCAAAGAGTGCAGAAAATACAAATCGAGTTTTTCAGAGAACGGAGTATCCGATTTGAATGATCCAAAAAAGCATTCAGTTTGTAATGACGGGGAAAAGTGGTTATTAGTTTTTGGCAAAGGTAGGCCCAGCGGTTTCGGAGATACAGAGCTAAATGTTAAAAAAATGGCGGTTTTTAAGAGAACTAAGCGTCCGATTTTAATGATTCAAAGAACTTTCTGCTTGTTTCAACAAAATAATTGCTTTTGGAAAAAGAAATTTTTTGTTTCTAATTTTTTTTTCAAAAAATATTTTTGTAATTTTGGATTAAAAATTCAAAAAATCACCCAGTCTAAGCACAGTCTAAGCGCCACTCTGGTACAAATGTTTACCCAAGTGCGTTTAGACTGTTTATGTACATGAGCACTTTTTCAGTAATTTTGTGAAAATTTTTAAAAAATGTGAAAATGCCGCCAAGCTAAGCACAGTATAAGTAGAAATGTCGCACATAATTATTTGCAAATGCGTTTAGACTGTGACTATGCGGGAGTACTTTTTCAATTTTGTGTAAATTAGGCAACTTTCAAATTTTTTTGAAATTGAATTCGAGATAAAATGACGATTGTTAATGTTGTGGAGATAAATTGATTTATGATTTACATTTGATTTGCTCAGATATAACAAGATAGCAAAAATAATGAAAGTTACACAGTATTTGTAATAATATATTTGAAAACGTTGAAAATTTCTCGAAATTTTAAATTTCATTACGATACGGCAAGTTCCAGCAATTTGCCTTAAGGCACGATGCCATTCATTACTAGTTTACATTTTTCTGTTGTAGAAATATTTCCCGATGCGCACAAACAGTACATTGTCGATAAATGGTTGGCATAAAGAGCAATTTTGCAAAAAAATAGAGAATGAATATTAAAATCTAAAAATACAACAGTTTTTGATAGGAAACTATAGGTACCATACAGCTGCAAAATTTTCTACTATCTAAATTTTTTTTTCAATATCAGTCAATTCACATGCTACATAACAATATAATTTAAAAATGAATCAACGGATTTTGCTTCGTAATTAAAAAATAAAATGTTCGGTAATAATATATAAAAATCTTGAAACTTTAAATGGGTCAATTTAATTTAAATAGAATCAGTTTCATATTAAGTATTAAGGGACATTTATATGTCGAGTGCTTTGCAGTGGGTAAACTATTTATATATTTTCTGTAAGCTGCTCTTTACACTTATGCACCACATTTGCAATCAGTTAGTTATTTTTTGTACTAAACATTTTATACTAGAAATATTTTTGTGGCACGTTTTCCGGGCCAGCCAATTTATATATATATATATATATATATATATATATATATATATATATATATATACACACACATATACATATACATATACATATACATTCAATAATAAAAAGAATTTAACGAAGAAAAATATCTGTAATAATAATAATTCCAACAGAACACAAAAAATCAAATAATACATAATTAAAAAATAAATAAAATAGAATAAATTGAATAAATAAAAACTTTGAGAGATTTTTTTTTTTTTTTTAAATTTCAATAAGTATTATAACTGTTAAATTATTAACATCTAGTAATATTGTTAAATAAACTTTAAGAGATACCATTTCGTTAATTTTAAATTAAAATAACTACAAAATATTTTTCATTTAAATTTTCACATTCATTAAGTCAATTGTTTATTTATCTATGAAGTCAATGTTACAGTTATAAACTAAAATCTATTCCCCAGAGGGCACTTACATCTGCTCCATTGACAGTTCAAAACAACTTTACTCCGTTCACCTAGGTTCCTATCTTCACAATTGTCTATGGTCTATCATAGTTTACCTTATGGCAACGATCGCAAGAAATCGTTCATTTCGTCCCTGCTTTCGGTAGGGATCAGAACAAAGGCGTGCCGACCCGGCGCCAAACGTACCGGGTCAACTTGTTCGAGTCTCGAAGAAAACGAGGAACGGTTTTAGTGTTACAGTTAGTGGTAATTGTAAAGTGAGTGATAAGTGATTGTGGTGTATATATATATATATATATATATATATATATATATATATATATATGCAACTTTGGAAATACAAATGGAGTGTTATTTATGTTCTATACGTTTGTTATTTGCGTTTAATTATCAAGGTTTTAATCCGATGTCAAAATTGCAAATGTCATTTTGACGTAAAATCAAAATCGGACTTGTGAAATTTGAAATAGTTTTTTTTAAGAAAAGAATTTAGAAGGTAAGCAGTAATTTATTTTATAATTACTTTATATTATTTTTATTATTAATTACAATTTATTTAAGGTTTTTGTTAAACATCGGATTGCATGATGGACGCCAAAGAAGATACAATCGCTTCCATCTTGTCTCAAAAGTCCATTCCGTTTTTTTACAAATGCAGAAATGCTGATTTAATTCTGACAAGCTCTAAAGATCTGGGAGATGATCTAAAGATGAGAGATGTTTACAGTAAGTAATAATAAGTTATGTAATTGAACGTCCTGAAGAGCTCTTTGAATTTTTGTTCTTGGAAGTATTCTTTCAACTTGATATTTCGTTTAGAAATTATTTAAATATCTCGGAATTTTGTGAGAAAAGTTTGTGATTTTAGTATCTGACATCATAGTAAAGGTGTTAGTGTATAACATGCTCAAATTGTACACGTTTGTGCAAACTGTTAGTCCTGAGGAGCTCCTTAAAATTAAAATTTTGTATGTACAGTATTATTTTAACCTAGTGCATTGTTTAGATATTATCTAAATATCTTGAAATTTTGTGAGAAAAGTTTGTGATTTTTGGATTTGACATCATTGTAGAGGTATTAGGGTATAACATACGCAAATTGTACACGTTTTGTGCAAACTGTTTATCCTGAGGAGCTCTTTAAACTTTTACTTTTGCATGTACAGTATTGTTTTAACCTGGTGCATTGTTTAGATATTGTCGAAATATTTCGGGATTTTGTCAGAAAAGTTTTGTGATATTAGTATTCGACATAATAGTAAAGATGTTAGTGTATAACATACTCAAATTGTACACGTTTTGTGCAAACTGTTAGTCCTGAGGAGCTCCTTGAAGTTTTGATTTTGTATGTACAGTATTATTTTAACCTAGTGCATTGTTTAGATATTATCTAAATATCTTGAAATTTTGTTAGAAAAGTTTGTAATTTTAGTATTTGACATCATTGTACGTGTGTCAATGTACAATATGTTCAAATTGTTTTGTGCAAACTGTTTGTCCTGAGGAGCTCCTTGAAATTTTAATTTGTATGTATAGTATGTTTTAACCTGGTGCATTGTTTAGATATTATTTAAATATTTCGGAATTTTGTGTGAAAAGTTTGTAATTTAAACATTTGTCATCATAGTACGTGTGTTAGTGTACAATATACTCAAATTGTACACGTTTTGTGCAAACTGTTAGTCCTGAGGGCTCTTTAAGATTTTAATTTTATATCAATGATATTGTTTTATCCCGGTACATTGTTTAGAGATTTGTAATTTTAGTTTTATTAGTAATTTTTTTTTTTTAAACATAAATTTATATATATAGTCCCTTGTGACATAGTCATATAGACTTACTCATGCTAACTAAATAAAGCACGAAGCTTTACTAGAAAAAATATAATAACAAAAAATTCATATTAAATCAAAATAAATACATAAACTATGTAATAACAATGAAATTCTATCTATATACAAAAAATGCAGGGGAGGGATAATGATACTTTGAAATAAATTTATCGCAATCCATTAATTACATTTTAATTCATATATACCATTTACATAATTAATTAACTACATTTCTATTAATGATGCGAAATGGTTGTGTATTACATTTGTTAATGTTTTTAATGTCCATAATAGTAAATATTACTAAAATTTGTTAAATCCAACTTGTATTCGTCTTGGAAATTGTTAAATACTTACTAAGTCTCAGGATTGTATAAAGTAATAGTTTTACTTTGTGTTTTGTATCTTATTTTATATCAATACTAATTTCTAATTTAAACCAAACGATTTTTACTTATTGTTTTGTTTAAAAAATTCTTGCAGTTTTTATTTTATAACTTTTTGTCTGGTTAAAATAGAATATTCTTTCTCAACTGAATAAATCTGAATAAATCGTAACAAGGATTTTTTTCAAAACCAAGTAAATTATTAATTTTACTTTACATTTTGTAATTTGAAATCCAATAATTAATTAACCGAATAAACGATTATTAGTCAGTTTTTTTGTTTGAACATTTTTGCAGAAAAGTGTGAAACATTCTCTCAGTTCTATTCTTTTAACTTTTTATCTGGTTAAAATAGAATATTCTCTCTTTTTTCCAAATAAATCTTGATAAAATTTACAAATAAATTGCATAATTACAATTTATATAAAATCATGCATATAGAATTTCTTACTTATAACATTGCTCTAACTTGGTACGTTGCTTAAAGATTGTCTAAATATCTTAAAATTTTGTGAGAAAAGTTTGTTATTTTCGTATTTGTTATCATAGTACATGTGTTAGTGTATAACATACTCAAATTGTACACGTTTTATGCAAACTGTTTGTCCTGAGGAGCCCCTTGAAATTTTAGCTTCATATTTATAACATTGTTTCATCCTTGTACTTTGTTCAAAGATTGTTTAAATATCTTAAATTTTTGTAAAAAAAAGTTGTCTATTTTAGTATTTGACTTCATAGTACGAGTGTCAAGGTACAGCATACTCAAATTATACATGTTTGCAAACTGTTAGTCCTGAGGAGCTCCTTAAAATTTGTATGTACAGTATTGTTTTGAAGTGTGTCAACTTTTCTAAAGTGCATATCGTTACTAAATCAGTCATATCTTCCAAACCATTGATTAATATGAATGGTGTATATGGGAAATTTGTTCAGAACTAAATAATCTACAATTTTTTCTAACAACAACATGCCCTAGAGCAACTCGGTATACATTGAAATCACTTTTGAAATAGACTTAATGCTATTGAAAATACCCAGAAGTGTGTCAACTTTTCTAAAGTGCATATCGTTACTAAATCAGTCATATCTTCCAAACCATTCGATTAATATGAATGGTGTATATGGGAAATTTGTTCAAAACTAAATAATCTACAAAATTTTCTAACAACAAAACAACCTAGAGCAACTCGGTATACTCTGAAATCGATTTTGAAATAAACTTAATGCTATTAAGTGTGACAACTTTTCTAAAGTGCATATCGTTACTAAATCAGTCATATCTTCCAAACCATTCGATCAATATGAATGGTGTATATGGGAAATTTGTTCAAAACTAAATATTCTACAATTTTTTCTTGCAACCCAAACCGTAGAGCAACTCGGTATACTTTGAAATCGATTTTGAAATAAACTGAACGCTATCGAAAACTGTGAAGTGTTAGTGTACAACATATTCAAATTGCACACGTTTTGTGCAAACTGTTTGTCCTGAGGAGCTCCTTAAAATTCTAATTATCATTTTTAGATTTGGCCAACCTCTGCCTGGAAAATCCCTTAACTTTGTGCGCCCAAAGGATAATTTCTCGATGTTTCGACCTAATGGTGACCCATTGTGATCACAAGGAGCACCACTACATATCAGGACCCACCAAGAATTTTCGATTAATCGATTTAGTGAAAACAGCTTGCGATAGGGTTGTCAATGTCAGGAGGGAAGACCAGGGGATGAGCGACAGGTAATAATTAGGGTTTGTCGGTTTTCAAAAACCGGTTTTTTGGCGAAAATTATGGAATTCGAAAACCGTTTTTTTAGTGAAAAAAGTCGGTTTTCACTGTATAAATGGAAAATGACAAATATAGCCAAATATAAAAGATAGATGAAAGCGTTTTGATTCTTGAAATCATATCGATTCAATAGCATTTGATATCTTATCAGTCTGCAATGGTTCCCAGAAAGGTTTTGTATATATTAATTTAGATTTTTATACCAGTGTATATATTAATTTAAATCAGTGTGACTTATTCTTGAAGAAGTAACTTCCTCTACTCAAACTTAAAAAAAGAGTTTTAAACCCTAGAAGCCACAAATTAAAGAACAAAATACCTAAAATTATAATATCTGACATTAAAAACAATTAAGCATAATTTGGTCACAAGTATGAGAGTAATTTCTATTTCAGGAAATTTTGTGAGTAAACAAAGGACACGTCTAAGTAGCAATTCGATAGACGTTCTCAGTTTTTTAAAATCATATTTTATTAAACAAAAAACAATTAGAATGTTTAAAATTAATTAAAGTTGCACGGAACAGACAATACCCGAGTTTAGCTTAATTGTTTTTAAAACTAATATTGATATTAACAAGTGGGTATCAACATATGTGCCCATAATTATGAAAGTGGTCTAAGTCATATATTTATTGTTTCAAGATATTTTTCGAATTGCATTTGAATAAATTAAAAAATATTTTTACATTATGCGACATTTTAATTTTTAATTTTATTAGTCTTAATTAATGGAAATGTATTATGAATATGGAATTTTGTGTGAATTTCATACGATAATATTGTTTTTGAAGTTTGAATTTACTTAGACCATTTTCAAAATTAACTGAATGTCCTATAAATGACTTAAAGCAATAAAGAATTTTGAGTTTTATTTGAAACAATAATTTTATTGAAATAATTCGTGAGCATTTATTAATTATTTTCAAACGGTAATCCATTTTTATCCAAACTGAATTATATGGTTAGATAAACCTGAATGAAATTGTCGTTATTATTAAAATTTGATTATCATTTATTTTATTATGTAGTTCAGAAACGCGTCAAAGAAGGCCACGTGCCATTTTCAAGATCTTTATATAATTTCTTTAAATTTTTGATTTAGACCACCTTCATAATTAACACTAAATGAATTCCATATAATGTTGAAATTACAACCACTATCTAATGGTTCATTTTTGAGAATTTCGTAAAAATTACATTGAATACATTTAGTATGAAATAACTGATAAACTCATTTTTTTTAAATTTTGACTTAGACCACTTTCATAATTATGGGCACAATTTTTTAATTTTTTTTTAATTTAATGATTTTTTATTTAAAAATGCATTATTTTTATTTATTCGAAAACTTTCCTTTCACTATCATAAAAATATTTTTATTATTATATATGAAAATAATGCATGAATAACGAATAATTATTTTCAAAGTTATTTAATCAAGATAAACTATTATTTTTTAGTTCTATTAATTAAAATTAAAATAATTTTGTTTACTATATATAAAAACGAACAATAAATAAATTGAGTCAAATACTGCTCTAAATTACACTAAATTTGCGGATAAATTACAGAATGTTCGAGCAAAAATGTATTTTCTATATAAAATTTGGAAACTGGTTAAAACCGGTTTTTTAGTAAAATTAAAATTCGAAAACCGGTTTTCTGGAATGTTGGTTTTTGTATAAACCGTAAGTAATAATAATAATAATAATAATAATAATTGATTTAAATGATTCAAGAAACTTTCTGCTTGTTTCAACAAAAAAATTGCTTTTGGAAAAAGAAATTTTTGTTTCTAATTTTTTTTTTCGAAAAATATTTTTGTAATTTTGGATTAAAAATTCAAAAAATCACCCAGGCTAAGCACAGTCTAAGCGCCACTCTGGTACAAATGTTTACCCAAGTGCGTTTAGACTGTTTCTGTACTGGAGCACATTTCCAATTTTGTGAAAACTATTGAAAAATGTGAAAATGCCGCCAAGCTAAGCACAGTATAAGTGAAAATGTTGCACAGAATAATTTGCAAATGCGTTTAGACTGTGACTATACGGGAGCACTTTTGCAATTTTGTGTAAATATTAGGCAACTATTTTTTTAGAATGAAATTGAATTCGAAATGAAATGACGATTGTTAATGTCCTGGGGATAAATTGATTTATGATTTGATTTACTCAGATATAACAATAAGATAGCTAGAATAATGAAAGTTACAGTATTTGTAATAATATATTTGAAAACGTTTGAAATTTCTTGAATATTTCATTACGGTACGGGAAGTTCCAGCAATTTGACTTAAGGCACGATGCCATACACCACTAGTTAGTATTTTATTAGTATTTTTTTTAGATTTATGATTTGTTTATGCAACCTCATCTGGAAGACGATCTTGCCTTGTCCAAAGGCTTTGGAGAACTTTTTGCGAATCGGAGGCGTTTTTACAATTCTGGACGTCATTGAGGTAAGAGAAGATTTTAAAGAAAACTAAACAAATTTTGTTACATAATTTTTTTCCCTAGAAAATTCCAAATCCTTATCGCAAACCTTGGCTAGGAATGCTGGTAGATTTTTGTTACGACAATGCTGGAAGAAGCGATTTTGCAATTTCTGCTCATGTTCAGGTTTTGGCTTGGAGGGGCAAAAATGCCAGGAAGGGGATTTTTGAACTTTTGGCCAAATTATACAGGTGAAAACTAGATATATGAATTTGAAGCTCTGAACCTTACATATATATATATTTCAAAAGGGATGAAGAAAATTCAGAAGGAAAACTGTCTGCTGATCATCTTAATTTGAAAAGATGCGACATCAAGGACAAAGGTCAGTTAGTATTAAATCTTATTAAATTTTGAGAGAAAAGTTTGCAATTTTAGTATTTGACATCATAGTAAAGATGTTAGTGTATAACATACTCAAATTGTACACGTTTTGTGCAAACTGTTTGTCCTGAGGAGCTTCTTAAAATTTCAATTTTGTATGTATAGTATTGTTTTAACCTGGTGCGTTCTTTGGATATTATCTATATATCTTGAAGTTTTGTAAGAAAAGTTTGTAATTTTAGCATTTGGTACCATTGTACGTGTGCCAAGTTACAATATGTTCAAATTGTATACGTTTTGTGCAAACTGTTTGTCCTGAGGAACTCCTTGAAGTTTTAATTTTGTATGTATAGTATTGTTTTAATCTGATGCATTGTTTAGATATTGTGTAAATATCTCGGAATTTTATGAGAAAAGTTGGCAATTTTAGTATTTGACAGTATAGTGATGGTATTAGTGTATAACATAGTCAAATTGTACACGTTTTGTGCAAACTGTTTGTCCTGAGGAGCTCCTTGAAGTTTTAATTTTGTATGTATAGTATTGTTTTATCCCGGTACTTTGTTTAGATATTGTGTAAATATCTCGTGATGTTGTGAGAAAAGTTTGGAATTTTAGTATTTGACATCATAGTACGTGTGTATATACAAATTGTGTAGATTTTTAAAAAATAAATCTTTTAGAATATTTACAAAAAAACTAGCTTCGAAATTTGAACTATGTTCATACAAGTACGCTTATAAAAAAAATATCGGAAAAAGACTTACATTTTCATTATTATACGTATTTTTATACTTATAAGTATTTCTCATAATTTTTGATTAAGAAATTTCGAAAAGTTTTAATTGCCAATAACTTTGGGTAAAAGTATTTGGTTCATTGATATTTTTTGTGCCTAAAAAATTAGGCTTATTAATATTATTCTGTTTAGATTTTTTGTAAATTTGAAGTTAGTTAAAGGTGAGACTAACGGTGTTTACATCTGTTTTATTTTTTTCCAAAAAAGTTTGCGTCGGGTCATATAAAACTGTTTATACAGAATTTTACTCAATTTTATCTAGTTTCGGCTAAGTTAAATAAAGAAGAGTGCACGGAACAAAATTTTAATGTTATTTTCAAAAATGTAAAAAAGCGTCCTAAACTTCCATATATTGTTCCATATATTAGGGACTAGTTCACTCTAGTTTTATTTTTTTACAAAATTGTTCGTATCGGGGTATATAAAACAGTTTATACAGAATTTAATAAATTTTGTATACAGTTTATACAGAATTTAGTTAATTTTATCTAGTTTCTGTTGAGCTAAATAAAAAAGAGTGCACGGAACAAAATTTTGATGTTATGTTCAAAAATCTAAAAAAAGTGTCCCGAATCCCCACATATTACTCAATATATTAAGAACGAGTTCACACTAGTTTTATTTTTTTCCCATATAATGCTCAGTACATTAAAGAGGAGTTCACACTAATTTTATTTTTTTACCAGAAAATTTGTATAGGGGAATATAAAACTGTTAATACACATCTTTTATAAATTTCATCTAGTTTCTGCTAAGCTAAATAAAAAAGAGTGCAGGAACAAAATTTTTATGTTATTTAAACAATCGTAAAAAAGTGCTCCATTAAATATTGGTTCTGCTAAAATATTTGATTTAAATAATATTCACTTCTTAAATGTTTTTGCAAAAAATCTTTTTTGAAATATTGTTTTTCAATATGTTTTTTGAATGCAAAAAATGTGAAATGGCCAAATACTTTTATTTTTCATTATATAATATTAATTTTACGAACAAAATACACGTTTAGTAAGGTTCTTCTAAGTAACTTTTCTTCAAGCACGCTGATTTTTAACGAGCTCCTCAGGACGCACCGTTTGTATTTCAAACATGCAAACTGAATATGCAATTTTAACACAAGTTTTTAAATGTAAAAATATGAAATAGCTAAATTTTTTTATTTTAATATTAATTTTACGAACAAAGTACTCGTTTAGTAAATCTCTGCTTCTTTAAGCATTGTGGTTTTTAAGGAGCTCTTCAGGGCCCACCGTTTGTATTACAAACATGCAAATTAAATATGATATTTTTCAGGAAGTTTTTTAAATGTGTAAAATATGAAATTGGCAAATATTTTATGGAGTTTTTTAAAATATAAATTGGCCAAATACTTCCATTTTTTATGTTAAATGTTAATTTTACGAACATAGTACACGTTTAGTAAAGTTCTTGTAAGTAGCTTCTCTTCAAGCGTAATGATTTTTAATGAGCTCTTCAGGACACACCGTTTGTATTACAAACATGTAAATTTAATATGATATTTTTACATGAGTTGTTTAAATGTAAAAAATATAAAATGGCCAATTACTTTCATTTTTCATTATGTAATATTAATTTTACGAACAAAGTACACGTTTGGTAAAGTTTTGCTCTTTTAAGCATTTTGATTTTAACGAGCTCTTCAGGACGCGCCGTTTGCATTACAAGCTTGAAATTCACGTATATTATACCTAAACATATTATCAATCTATTATTATTATTTTTTTTTAAAGAAATTCAAACTGTCACCACCTATGTGGAACCTTTGATCGAACGCTGCAAGATGTCGCCAGGTGATATCACACAGATTGTGGAATGCGGAGAAATAGATGTTTTACCATTTACTAATTTACCTTTTAAAAATTGCATTCGAGCAAAGGTAAAACAACAAACCAGAATAACAAATCTACCAAATTTTAATAATTCATTTCTATTTTTTTAGGTCCATGCCATGTTACGAGTCTTAGACTGTTGCGATGATAAAGTCCATGAAGACATTGTTAATAGATATGGAGTCGATGGTGGAAAATCTAGTTTGGACATCCATGATAAAGTATAATAATAAATTTAATAATTCACATGGTTTCTCAATTGGTAATGCTAAATTTGTTCCCATTAGATCACCCTGTTGTCTGCCAAAAATTTCGAATTGTCCTTCAAAAAGCAACTGATGAACATCCCTGATGGTACAGAACTTTCTCCACATGGTCTTAATATGATGCAAACTTTGGAAATGAGACGACACGAAGAAAAGGTATTAATAAAGCATAGTTTTTTGAAGTAAAACTTTTTAGGCGCGACTAGGGCGTAAGTCCGTACACATGCAACGGAAGATAAGAGTTGAGTGCCAATGATTCGTCATTCGCTCTCGATGATATCATTTCTATACGGGTCGATTGTGATTAGACGTCGTGTATGTGAATAGAGATCTGTCGTTGTATGCGTACCGATATCAACAAGGAAATCGACATAGATAGATAAATAAACATTTTAAAGTTACATCGTAGTACAAATCTTGATTTAATGAAAAATGCCTGAATCAGAAGAATATTTTACCATGTTCCTTGAAAATAATAAAACAAATTAAAAGTTTGTTTCGTGTACTAAACGTAATTTTATTGATTAGAAATTATTTCTATATTGTTCGTAGTTTCTATAAATCTTTGAAGTTATTAAAATTCTTTTATTTTCTTTTTGAGCTCTTTTATTTTTCATTAATACACTGTCCTAACTATGTAAAATTTGCACATGACACTCTTTAATATGTCTACTATGCGTACAAATTGTAAAACAGATGACTATTTTACAATTTTTTGAGTTAAATAATGCTTTTCCAAAATGTGCATTCGCCTCATTACTAATTTACCTAGTATACTTTATTTGTGTACAAGTAGAGTTCTTTTATTTTTTATTAATACACCGTTCGTGCAAAATCTATGAAATTTGCACATGACATTCTTGAATATGTCTACTATGCGTACAAATACTGAAACTGATGACCTTTATACAATTTTTGAGTTAAATAATGTTTTTCCAAAACCTGCACTCGCCTCATGACTAATTTACATAGTGCACTGTATTTATTGTACAAGTAGAGTTGTTTTATTTTTTATTAATACACTGTTTGTGCAAAACCTATGAAATTTGCACATGACATTCTTGAATATGTCTACTATGCGTAAAAATTGTAAAACTGATGACTTTTTCACAATTTTTTGAGTTAAATAATGTTTTTCCAAAACCTGCACTCGCCTCATTACAAATTTACATAGTATACTTTATTTGTGTACAAGTAGAATTCTTTTATTTTTTATTAATACACCGTTTGTGCAAAACCTATGAAATTTGCACATGACATTCTTGAATATGTCTACTATGAGTACAAATACTGAAACTGATGACCTTTATACAATTTTTAGAGATAAAATTTTTTTTTCAAAACCTGCACTCGCCTCGACTAATTTACATAGTGCACTGTATTTGTTGTACAAGTAGAGTTGTTTTATTTTTTATTAATACACCGTTTGTGCAAAACTTATGAAATTTGCACATGACACTCTTGAATAGGTCTACTACGCGTACAAATTGTAAAACTGATGACTATTTTACAATTTTTTGAGTTAAATAATGTTTTTCCAAAACCTGCACTCGCCTCATTATTAATTTACATAGTATACTTTATTTGTGTAAAAGTAGAGTTCTTTTATTTTTTATTAATACACCGTTTGTGCAAAACCAATGAAATTTGCACATGACATTCTTGAATATGTCTACTATGCGTACAAATTGTAAAACTGATGACTATTTCACAATTTTTTGAAATAAGTAATATTTTTTAGGCAAGTTCTTCAAACACAATTGTTACATGATGAGTGAATTTGCAAAAACAATATTTGTTTAAGTTTTGTTTAACATAATCAACTATGTGAACTAATATTATAGAATTTATTAATCAGCAATTACTTCATTTCTCTAATAAAGGTCCAAGTCCTTTATTGTCCTTATTACAATGACAAACCGATCATGTCATATTTGAAGTATGACTTTAATTAAATAATTATTTTTAAATATTACACTAATTTTTAGTGCTTTTATAAATATATAATTTATAATTTATCATTATATAAATGTGTATAATGATTGACGACACTAATAAATGTGTGAATCACGAGTGTTACCATATTGCTAATGAAAATTATTCTAAATTGTTATATGATGCATTTATTTTTATTTAAATGCCATCTTGTACAGTAGCAAATAAGTTTTACTTCAATCGCGTGAGAACCTTACGCGCACTCTTTTTTTATATAAATTGACTATAAAATGATAGTGAGTGTATTTTTCTTGTCACAGGATTTTTTTTGGTATATATTTGGTCTTAAGTTATCTTTATTAGTGCATTGTTTTGTTATTAAAAATTTTGATTTATAAATAGTCTTATATGTTATATTCGTTTTGATACATTTTCGTGACGACTATATTCAGTCAATTGGTTAAAAAAAATGATCATAATGATGTTATAAGCAAGTAGCCAAATATGGACCTTAGGACATTTTTTTTACATTTTATTAAATAACATTAAAATTTTGTTCCGGGCACTTTTTTATTTAATTTTAGCGGAAACTAGATAAAAGTTACTAAAATTCTGTATAAACTGTTTTATATGCCCCGGTGCAATTTTTTTTATTGAAAAAATAAAACCAGAGTGAACTTGTCCTTAATGTATATATAAGGATTTGGGACACTTTTTTACATTTTTTGAAATACCTTTAAATTTTTGTTCCCGACAATCTTTTTTACTTAGCTTAGCAGAAACTAGATAAAATTTTCTAAAAATGTGTATTAACAGTTTTATATGCCCCGATACAAACATTTTTTGTGAAAAAATGTAACTATTGTAAATTATTCTGGAGCGTATTAAACAATATATATGGGGTTTCGGGACACTTCTTTATATGTTTTAATATGTCATTAAAATTTTGTTCAGGGCACTCTTTTCTATTTAGCTCAACAAAATCAAGATAAAATATACTAAACCACCATTAAGTTAAAATGCAACTTACACCTAGTTTTTCTATTCTTTTTTAGGAGGAAAAAATGTCCAGGGACATCATAGAAATGTACAGACTCTCCAAGTTACCAAAAGCCCTCGAAGCATTTGCAACCCTAAAACATGCCGACAGGTAAATCTACACAATTTAATAATAATAATTTTATTATTATTATTATCTTATTATTTCTATTATTTAAATTTGGAGCTTTTATATATACTTAGATATAGAAATTTTGCATAATTCTATATTGAAATGCGGACTTTAGTGTTTTGGTCACTTGCATTATAAAAATTTAAAACATTTTTTAAGTTTTGTTTAAATAACTTTTAATTTTGTTCTCAGACATTATAATTTGCTGACATTAGTGAAAACTAGATAAAATTTACTAAAATATAGTAAGAACTTGTGTATATACTTAGATATCTAAATTTTGCTTAATTTTATATTGAAATGCGGACTATAGTATTTTGGTAATTAGTAATATATATATATATATGGATTTGGGTAATTTTTTTACTTTTCTACAAATAACTTTTGATTTTTTTCTCGGACATCATAATGTGTTGATATTAGTGAAAACTAGATAAAATTTACTAACATTTAGCAAAAACTTGTGTATATACTTAGATATCTAAATTTTGCATAATTTTATATTGAAATGCGGACTATAGTATTTTAGTAATTAGTAATATATATATATGGATTTGGGTAATTTTTTTACTTTTCTACAAATAACTTTTGATTTTTTTCTCGGACATCATGAAGTGTTGATATTAGTGAAAACTAGATAAAATTTATACTATACTTAGATATACAGTATATACAGTATTTTGGTAATTGGGTAATATTATGGATTAAGATCGTTTTTTTCCTATACTTTTCTACAAAGTACTTTTAATTTTTATTTTCGATATAATACATTTTAGTGACAATTTTATTTATATTATTTATTAATTTTATTTTTATTATTATTTGCTTTTATTTCATATTAAATCATCACACTACGGATATCATTTTAATGTAAATTCTATCCCTTTTTTTTATTTATGATTTATTGGCTTTATAAACTAGTACATTAGCCATATACTAAATTACATAATATCTACACTATCTCTTAAAGTCTAGTCTTACGTATATATCATTGTTTTATGTATATTTCATTTATAGTTTCATATTATCAAATTCTATCCTTTGCACTCTCATTTATTTAAATTTATGTTATTATTTCTCAATATTGCTAGATGTTAATTATTTAACAGTTGTAATAATTATTGAAATTAAAAAAAAATTATTTCAAAAATATATTAACCATATATCAATTATTTTTTAGGACTGCAAATCGTCTGTCTCTGCTGCAGGAAAAACAGAAGCAAATCGACTGTTTGATGGAATCGAGACCAGTACAAATTCCTGGTGAAGATTTTGCTCAGGATGCACCAGAAACTTTCCATTTGACGGTTGATACGAATATTGCTGTTACTGTAAGTTTAATATATTATATTTGAGTCTTTTAGGAAGCCATTTAGGAAGTTAGAATTTTATGTTTTTAGTTTTTATATTCAAAAAATTGGCTTAAAAGAGTTGGGTGCTCCAAACAAATTTTTCGTGTTTCAAGTATTTTTTTTACAAAAAGTTTGTATCGGGGTTTACAAAATGGTATATGCAGAATTTTAGTAAATTTTATCTAGTTTCTGCTAAGCTTAATAAAAAAGAGTGTCCAGAATAAAATTTTAGTGTTATTTGAAAAAATTTTAAAAAGTGTCTTGAATCCATATAATACGTTCCAGAGTATTTCGCAATAGTTTCAGTTTTTCACAAAAATTTTCGTATAGGGGTATATAAAACAGTTTATACAGAATTTTAGTAAATTTGACAGTTGATACGAATATTGCTGTTACTGTAAGTTTAATATATTATATTTGAGTCTTTTAGGAAGTCATTTAGAGGTTAGAGTTTTGGGTTTTTAGGTTTTATATGTAAAGAATTGGCTTAAAAGAGCTGAGTGTTTGAACCAATAAGTTTGTGTTTCAAGTATTTTTTTTACAAAAAGTTTGTATCGGGGTTTACAAAATGGTATATGCAGAATTTTAGTAAATTTTATCTGCTGAGGTAAATGAAAAATAGTACACGGAACAAAATTTTAATGTTTTTTAAAAATATCTACAAACGTTCTAGAGTAATTTACAATAGTTTCATTTCTTCACAAAAATTTTTGTATAGGGGTATGTGAAGCAATTTGTACAGAATTTTAGTAAATTTTATTTAGTTTCTGCTGGGATAAATAAAACATAGTGCCCCGAACAAAATTTTAATGTTGTTTGAAAAACTCTGAGAAAGTCTTCCGAATCCCCATATATTGTTTAATGCATTAAAGACTAGTTTACCTAATTTTATTTTTGCCTAAATAAAATTGTATCGGGGTATATAAAACAGTTTATACAGTATTTTAATAAATTTTATCTAGTTTTTGCTAAGCTAAATAATAAAGAGTGCTCGGAATAAAATTGCAATGTTATTTAAAATATCTAAAATCCGAAATTCCCATATATTGCTCGATACATTTTAAGGTCGAATTCACACTAATTTTATTTTTTTACAAGAAAGTTTGCATCACGGCATATAAAACAGTTTATACAGAAATTTAGTAAATATTATCTAGTTTGTGATAAGCTCAATAAAAAAGAGTACACGGAACAAAATTTTAATGTAATTTAAACAAACGTAAAAAATTGACACCAATCCATATATCGTATATATTCAAAAATCATAACGGCGATTCAAACTAGTTTTGTTTGAAATTTTTGTATCACACTACAAAAAGCAATGTATACAGAAAATTAATAAATTTTATCTAGTTTCTGATAAGCTAAATAAAAAAGAGTGCCCCGGACAAAATTTTAATGTAATTTAAACAAATGTAAAAAATTGACTGCAATCCCCTTATATTGCTCAATACATAAAGGACTAATTCTTGAAGCTAATTCAATTTAGTTGGATTTTAATACATTGGGATAAATTTATTTAAATTATTAGATTATATAATAATAAATTATATTGAATTATTATCTTGTACTATAATAATAACCTTTGCTTTTAATTAAAAATAATAATTATTGTTTTTTAAATTATTTGAATTTATTTTCAATAGCTCAATTTTTTTAATGCTAATTATTATACAATATTTTTCATCATACTTGTGGATTTTTAAATAAATAATTTTTATGACTAAAGCAATGATTTTCCAAATATATCCCTAGAAAAAAATAATTTAAATTATTAGAAAACAATGTCTATTAAAATTATCATTTAACAACAAAATAAATTAATTTATGTATTTTTTTCTCAATTTTAGGCTGTGTACGATCAGCACATCAAGATTATCCGAGATGTTTGAAATTTGCCGGAATTTACTTAATATTTTATACACATATTTAATATAAAATTATTTTATATACTTAAATAATTCATTCCAAAATTCTGTTTTAATCCTTTTTTTGTTACAAATGACATCATCTAAAGAATCCATCACAACTTTGCACGCAAGTATAAACAAAATAAGACAATTTAATTAAACTTATTATATATAATAATTATATTAAACTATTATATAAACAACATACTAATCTAATACATGTATAAATATTTTTCTTAATTTTTAACCATGTTTTTTATTACATAAATCCATTTTTCTGCCTTTAACATACGTACAAACGTGTGTCAGGAATTTCAAAATCAAACAATTTCATTCGACTTATAAAGCGATGTGGGAGAGAGATGCCGCATGTGGATTTTCATACATTTTGTTCAAGTGGGAAAGAGATGCCGTGATGAATGACGCCGATACCTGTCCGGTGAATACGAAACATTCAAACAGGTTGTTGGAGGAGCATGGAGTGTGAGAGAAGGAGATTACAGGTGAGATAAATAAGATTTAATAAGAATTTAATATGAATTGATATATAAAGGTATTTTATAAATAAATGAATCAAATAAAAGTTAAAAATAATAATAATAATAATAATAAAAATATCAAATGAAAGTTAAAAATAAAAGAGCAAGCTCATGTGATAATATATCTATATCTATCATACAGTATTATTTTTTATGAAAAAAGGGTAATTCTAACAAATTTAAAACATTGATATAAAATTGAAAAAAATAGTTAAATCTTCTTTTTTAGTTTGCCAGTAAGTACAGGTTTCATTTTACTCTATTAATTTATAAAATTAATAGATTGGAAAATTTGCATTTGTCTTGGATTTTGATATAATTGGATTAGTCTTGGATGTTGGATTTTATTGCTTAGCTTTTATTTCATACTTGGATTTTGATATAATTAGTTGTTTTGGTATTTGGATTTGTTGGTAGTTGGATTATTAAATAATTAGATTTTAATATTTTACTTTCTATAAGCAATTATTTTTTTAAATAATTTTGAACTACTTTTGATTTCAACATAGCTAGATTTTAGGAACTTTGATTTCGATATTTTTAGATTTGTATAAATTTGTGTTTATAATTAACTATCTAGGTTGAATTATTAGGCGAAATTTGCTTTCTAAAAAATATTTTAAATATTTAGTTTTGGATTTTGACATAATTCGGTTTAGGTAGGTGAGACGACTTGGATTTTCATTTTTTAGCTTTTTTAAGCATTTATCTGGATTTCAGGAACTTCTATTTTTTATATATATGTGTCTTCTATTTTTTGATATGTTTAGATTTCCAAAATTGTTTATCAAGCTGGTAGATTTTGATACATTGGCTTATATATGCACTAAAATGTTGAAATGTTAAATGCTTAAAGTTTTTGGATTTTTCCATATTAGGCGTTTAGGAACTTAGATTTTTTTAAATATAAATTATATAAAGTGACTTAGATTATATAAAGTGACTTAAATTTACTTTAGCTCACCTAGAACTGTTAATATTGGAATATTTGGATTTTTAATGCATTAATCGATGTTCACATATATAGATTTTAGGAACTTTTCAGATTTTGTTTTTTATGTATTTGGATTTTTAGGTAGTTGTATTATTAGGTACATGTAATTAAATTTTAAAGCACTTAAAATTTCATATATTTAGAACTTATTTTTCGGAAAATTTCGATTCAAAAAATTGATTTTTCGGATATTTTCAACATTTAGAACTTATTTTTCGGTATTTCTGGTTTTTTTCAGTTTGGGTAAAAATATTAGTAAGACTAGTGGTGTATGGCATTGTGCTTTAAGGCAAATTTCTGGAACTTTCCGTACTATAGAGAAATATTCGAAGAATAAAATTAAGTTTAACCTTTATTTTTGCAAATTAAAACAGAAATTTCAAACAAAATAAAAATTTCACAAGAACAATCGTTTTGTGAACACAAACAGAAAGTTGTTTGAATCATTCAAAGCGGATACTTAGTTCTCTCAATGACTGTCATTTTTGCATATTTATCTCCGTATCTCCAAAACGGCTAGACCTGCCTTTACCAAAATCTGATCACCACTTCTCCCCGGCATTACTAATTCAAAGTTTTTTGGATAATTCAAATCGGATGCTCCGATCTCTCAAAAACTCGATTTATATTTTCTGCACTCTTTGCTCCGTATCTCCGAAACGGCTGGACCTGCCTTTGCAAAAAACTAGTCAGCATATCTCTCTATCAATAGGAATCGAATGTTTGTTGATCCGTGCGCCTGAAAACGTGGACGAAAAGTTGTGTCCATACACACACATCAGTTTTTTCTGAGGTAAGCCAAAGCGTTCAGAAACCTTCAAAACGTGTAGAATTGCAAAAAAAAATTCAATTTCGATTTGTGGACTACTGCAATAACTTACCCTACGGAAAGTTAATAAGAGAAGACCAACGAACTTAATGATACTTTATATGCAATTTAGGATTCTGGGCGTAGTCTCATTTAAGTAGTTTCTTCCTAATTAGTAGAAACCTATTGTTCTTCTCTCTTTTATAATTTTTGCTCAATTTTAGTTCTTACATACATATATATATACTAGCTGACCCGGCGAACTTTGTTCCGTCATAATGACATTAAATAAGAAGTTTTTTTAATTGGGAAAAATAAAAATAAAATACCGTTCTTGATTATTCATATTTATTTCTGAAAATAATAAAATATGAATCATGGATTGAATAAACTCAATGAAGAGTTTATAATTAATTAATTTTCAATTTGAACGAAAAACGAAGGATCCTATGTCCTTCTCCTGGCTCTAAACTACTTCTCTAGCAATTTTCAGCTAAATCGGTTCAGCCGTTCGTGAGTTATAGGTGTTCTAACTAACACGATCCTTTTATATATATATATATATATATAAGATATATATATATATACACATATTTATATTTTTTTTCTCCTTTCAGATAGATCTTCATGTCGGATTACAAAACCCGGCAACTCCACTGAGCGTGTCTTATAATGGTGGACTCAGTTTTATTCCAAACCGCCGACAACAGGTAGATTATTATATTAAATTACAATATTATCTAACTTGATAAATTAATGAAAATTAACGCTAAAATATCGATAAACAATTAACAATTGCGATAAAAATAATTTTGTGCGTTATGGATAATAAATTATTAATAAAAATTACAGTTTTAGCCAAAAGTGTGATGTGTAAATTGAAAATGTTTTACTCTGCGATTTATATTAATTTTGTTTATTTTTAAATTAAATATTGTCGGTTTTAAGCGGTTAAATTGATTAAAAACAATTAAAGTTTGTTCTAAAAATAATTTTGGGCTTCGGGAATAATTTTTTTTTAATTACAATATTTATTACTACTGTTAAATAATTTAACATCAATCAATTTAAATAAATAAGAGTACAAACGATAGAATTCACATTAAAATGATATCCGTAGTATGATAATTTAAAATAAAATAAAAGCAAATAATAATAAAAATAAAATTAATAAATAAAATAAATAAAAAGTGGAATTAAAACATTAAGTGATAGATAATAATAAATATAACAAAATAACAATATTAGAAATAATAAATGATATATTAAACAAAAAGTGTGGTGATCTATTATAAATTTTAATTCTGAATTACATTTTGTTTGTTTAAATTAAATATTTTCGGATTTTAATTCTTAAATTATTTATAAATAATTAACATTAATAATAAATGCAATTTTGAATAATTAGAATCATAAATAGTGTGTTTAAAAAAAATATAAATTTTTTATTTTGTTATGTTCCTACTTTTGTATTAATTTTATTTTTTTATAAATTACATATGACGATTTTCAAGTACTTGAATTATTTATATACAATTAATTAAGTTCTGAAGATCTGAAATAATTTGTTTTATTCGTTGTTATGTTATTAATAAATATTATATCGTGATAAAATATTTATAAACAATTAATAAAAGTTTGTTATTGTAAAAAATACGGTGTAATTATTAGTATCTTAAAATTAGTCTCATTTTTTCTATTTTGCTCGTCAGTAGAGTTTCTTTTCTACACTTTTGGTTTATTATTTAATTAATTCTTAAAATTAATCTTGAGCGCAAAATATTGAAACATTTATTATTTTTACTCAAAATTTTATATTAAAGTCTTAAAAAGTATTTTTAAATAATTATAAACGTGCCTTAAGACAAATTGCTGGAATTTCTCGCTTTTTTTATCTTTTTAAAGGCTCGAAAAGCAAAATAGATTTTGAATAGTTTTGGACGTTTTTGAAAACATTTAAAGAATTTGAATATTGAACAAAATCGGAAAAATAGCATTTTTTCTTGAAAAAAATACTGATATTTTGTGAAAACTCTGAAAATTTTTAAAATCTTTAGTATTTTAATTTTTGAAAATTTCGAAAACATTTACAGAATTTGAAAAAAATAGCTTTTTTTCTGTAAAAAGTAATCAAAAATTTGAAAAAATGTTTTTTTTTAAAACGATGATATTTTGTGAAAACTTACGATATTTTTGAAAACTTTAATTTTTTTTTTTTTTTAAATTAAAAAAAAATTTAAATATTTTTTTTTTGAAAATACTGATATCTTGTGAAATTTTTGAAAACTTAAATATTTGTTTTTTTTTAATTTTGAACATTTTTGAAAATTTTGAAAACATTTAAAGAATTTGAATATAGTAGAATTTGTACAAAATTGAAAAATGTCGCTTTTTTTGAAAATACTAATATTATGTGAAAACTTTGATTTTTTTTTTTAAATTTAAATTTTTTATTTATCTTTAACATTTTTGAAAATTTTGAAAACAATTAAAGAATTTAAATATTAAACAAAATTTAAAAAAAATGCTTTTTTTTTTTTTGAAAATACTGATATTTTGTGTAAACTTTGAACATTTTTGAAAACTTATTTTTTTTTATTTTATTTAAATTTTAAACATGCTTGAAAATTTTGAAAACATTTAAAGAATTTGAATGTCGAACAAAATTGGAAAAACAATCGCTTTTTTTTTTGAAAAATTTAAATATTCCACAAAATTGAAAAAATTGCCTTTTTTTGAAAACGCTGATAATTGTGAAAAGTTCAAATTTAATTTAATTTTTTTAATTTTATTTAAATTT